TGACCCCACGCGGCAGAGCCCGTGGCGAGGCTTCCCTGGTGTCCCTGCCCCGCTGGGCAGGCGTCTTTGGTGGCAGAAACGGGCGTCGCTCCAGGGCAGTGGGTGCCGGGCACCGCGCAGCGTCCAGCTCCCGGTCAGGGCAGGAGGCAGTAGGGGGTGCTGAACCCCAGCGCTGGACAGCGGGTCAGGGGCCTGGGGGGGGGGGGGGGCCGCTGCCCCAGGACCAGCGTGTCCACACTCAAGATTTGTGCTTTTTCGAGGGAAAAAATATCGAAAGGCAACATAAATCTGAAACTTCAGATAAACTCGAAGTCTCTAAGCCCAGCCCTAGAGGGGTACAGCGGGGAGTGGCCGCCTTTGGGTGGACAGTGAACTGGCCCCAAAGCGCCAGAGATGATGGATGTTGCGCCAGTGGCCGCCAGGCCTCTTGCTGGGAGCCTGGAGCCTGGCTGGTGCTGGGGCAACTGAGCCGGCTTGAGGGGCGGGGCTTGAGGGGCGGGGCTTGAGGGGCGGGGCGCGAGGGGCGGGGCGCGAGGGGCGGGGCGGGCGGCCCTGCCTGGCAGTGAGGGTCAGTGGCAGCTGAGCCCACTCTCCTGGGCCTCAGCTTCCCCCTGCTCCCCAGACCCTCACTCCCCATCCTCAGAGTGAATGCCCTGCGGGTCACCTGTGAGGGGCCTGAGGCTGGGGGAGGGAGGGGCTGGGCAAGGGGCACCCCGCCACCAGCGGCCCCCTTGACTCCTGAAGTGGCCAGCGGAGGGTACTGCCGGCTGGGAGCTGGTCCTCGGCCCTGCGGGGTGCTCAGGCTCCCCCCAAGCAGGGTCAGGAGTCCTGAGAAGCTCTAGGGGCTCAGAAACGCAGCGCCCCTCCCCCACAGACCAGGTCCCCCCCCCACCTCAAGTCACAGGACACTGGAGCTGTCCTGCAGGGTTGGGTGACTCCCTGGCCGGGCAGGCGCCGGGTCAGACAGGCCCGAAAGAACCTGGAGCACAGCCACTGGGCGAGGGGCCCCAGGAAGAGGGTGCAGGCTCCAGGCCAGCAGGGCCTGTGCTGGACACAGCATGTTGGGAGACCCCTGAGTAGCAGTTCCCTTAGGAGGGCAGGAACCCTCATCTTTGAGAAGCTGCACCCCTAATCTGTTCCATGGCAACCTCATATGTATCAAAGGCTGCACCCCAAATCTCCTCCAGGGCACCTCGTGGGTGTCAAGAACTGGGTGAGGACAGGCGTCATCAACTGGGAGAGCAGACACACCCCAAGCTGGGAACCAGGGGGGCCCAGGCAGCCAGAGGCCAGCTGCAGCCACAGGCCCACGGGGACGAGGCACTGCCCAGGACTGGCAGGGAGGGCAGGCTGTGGCCCTGGGATGGACAGCTGGGGAGGTGCCAGGTGGTAGCCGCTGGCGTCCCTCCGCACCCCTCACCAGAAGTCAGGCTAGCCAGTGGCCGGAGCTGCCCAAACAACAGGAGGGGCTCTGGTGTGGGATGTGAGCTGGCTGCTGGGGAGCAGGAGGCACCCCTGCCCCTTGAAGCACCTTCCTAGGGGGCCCCAGGTCCTGAGGAGCCCCCAGCTCAGCCCTGAGTGCAGTGGACAGGCTCTCTGCCGGGCTGGCCGGCCACTGGGCGCCCCCAGCTCCCTGGACAGGAGCAGGAGGGTGCAACAGCAGGTAGCCCCACTTCACAGAGGGGCTCAGCGCCTGGGGCGGCCCCTACAGCCTTCCCTTTCACAGCTAGGACGCCCCGCCCCGGCTGGCCAGTGGGGAGGACCCAGGACAGGCTGGGGCTGCAGGAGCCCGCTGGGTCCTTGGCAGGCGGGGTCGCCCGCCACAGCAGCTGGACCTGCAGGACCTGGCCTGCCGGCGGAGAGCGGAGGCTGCATGGGGGCCAGCCAGAGGGGTGTTTGCCCAGGGTGGGCCCCAAGGGCTGGCACTGAGGGGGGCTCTGTGAGCGTCCAGCGGAGGCCTCTGGGGTGCAAAAGCCAAGTTTGCACCAAGCTGCTGTCAGGTGCAATTGAGCCAGGTCTGGGGGGCACATGCAGGGGCCGGGTAGGACTCTGCAGAGGAGCCTGGGGGCTGACACTCCCCCAGGGGCTGCTGCTGCAGGGCACGCCCTTGGAGGGGCTGGAGTGGGGTACAGGCTGGCCCTGGGGCCGGTGCCCACGTGGGCACACAAGGGCAGCTCAGTGCTGGAGCCTCACTGATCATGAGACTGGAGGACATTCCAACAACAGCCACAGCCTCCCTGGGCGTCTCCGGGAGCTCCGCCTGCACAGAAGCTGTCCTACCCGTCTGCCACGGCCCCGAGTCCAGGGGACCCCTGTCTGCCTGGGCCTGGAGGTGGGGGTTTCCATACCCTCCAGCCTCTACACCAGGGTGTCCCCCATTACCCCTCCTCAACCCTCCACAGCCCCCGGGGGCCGCTGGAAGCTGCCTGAGCCCAGCGCAGCCTCCCCGCCCCCAGCCACTGCCAGGGCCCGGGGCTCCGGCCTGAAAGTGAGCACCAGCCAGCCTCCTCCACGTCCTCTCCCCTGCCGGTAACGTCCCTGACCCAGCCTGGTCCTGTGGTCGGCCAGCCAGCCTGGCCCCTGGCCCAGACACTTGCTCATCTCTCTGGGCACGGAATGCCCGTAAACAGTGGCACACGTAAATGCTCACACAGGGGCAGACGGAGAGGGCCAGAGCTGCAGGGCCAGTCCCCACCTGGCCTCTGCGCTGGAGGCCAGCACTCTGTCCAGTGGCTCCCCAGACGACGCCCGTGCCCCTACTGTGGGTGCAGCCTGGCCTGCCCGGCTCGGGGTGTGGCAGCCCTTGCGGCCTGGAGGCCCTGCTGTCAGCAGCCTTCAGCGTTCAGGCGCCCCTCCAGGGGTCAGCCTGCTTGGGGCCGCCTGGCCCAGTGGGAGAAAGCACCGGTGCCCTGGGCACGCACACAGGCCGCCACTGGTAGCCCAGCTAGGCAGCGCCGCCAGTCCAGGAGATGCCATTCAGCTCTGTGCCCTCGTGGCCTACCGTCCCTTGCCGCCCACCCCAGCCCACAGACCTGCTGGGAGGGAGAAGGGCGGCGCCTCGCTGGGCCGAGGGCTCTGGTGAGGTGGGCAGGCAGGCACCGAGGCGAGCGCCTGCTGGCCTGCT